ATCCTCAGTTTCAAAGGATGTCCTTGGGCGTTTACTGCCCGACCGTTACGACTTTCCCTGACAATATGAGCCAAGACCAGGTAGAGGGTGGGTCGACCAGGAAAACCGAGCGAAAAATGTGCCAAACTTGGGGTGCAAAAAGTCGAGACGCTAAATCTTTTGTGCAAGGAATTGTTGCGGACTTCCCAAGACATTTCGGAGTGCGATTTTTTTTATGTAACGAACCTCCTTCAACGGATTCTTGATCAGGTTTTCCAATTGGAGATTTTATTCACAATAATAAGTATGTATGGCTAGAGCCATAACTTTTAATCACGTAAACCGTTTTCCGATCAGCTGTGACTATCAATAGTAGATATGCAGCAAATGGTCCACAGATCGTTTGTTACAGCATCTGAAATAGTCATTAATATACCATCTTTGTTCTCAGTGTAAAACCTCATACGAATAATATAGCGTTTGAGATGCTTTGCTTTGTGATTCAACAAAAATAAAAACATCAACGTGTTCTAAGAACATTCACATCTATAACCTATAACTTTTGTACATGTACAATCGCGTCAGCCAACAACTGTTAAGGTGGCAAACATGAATGAAATCAGCTGATCGTAGCAAAAGTTGTTGTGAAATCCACCGGAAGTTGAAGTGTCACAACCAGTTCACCAGCTTAAATAGTAATCTCCTGCATTTCTCGTACACCCTGTATCTTGTTTTGTAAACCGCGTGTTGTTAAACAAGTTGGTTCATTCATAAAGCACGAATGTATCGGCAAAGATTTAAGTCTCTAGTGTGGTTTCCGTAAACGATATTCGAAAATGGGGTTTAATATACACTGTTGGTATGATGTAAGAATATAATTCTTACGCAATTATACAGTCAGAATACCCCAATTCCAATTTAAGAGCTTCTATGTAGAGACATCATCATCGGAATGATGTCATCCCACGGTCGTAAACTACGGTATATTCCAGAAGTATATACAGTATATACACTCATCCCACACTCATCTCCATTCATACTTGGCTTAAAATACCTACATTTGTATGGTCGCCATTTCAAAGAAAAGTATAAAGTATAAAAAGTAAAGTATAAAGTAAAATACCTGTATTCTGTAACTAGGAGTCCTAATACCGGGATCTCGAGATTAATAAGATCACAAAATCTATTTTTCGTCAAACCTATTAAAATTATCGTCAAACTTACACAAATATTTGTACATGTAAAAATGTAAAGCGCAAAGAGTGTATGATTGAAATATTGATAAACATGTAAAAATGTCACGTCAAACATTTCCCGGAAAATATAATGAAATATTTTGGATTATATTAAGTGAGTGTAACTTACACAGTATTTAAATGTACACGAAAGAAACTTATGTAAACCAGAAAATGAGGGACTTGCTGTGGGATTATACTTTGTTGATGTCTAAACCTAATGTGTGTAGGGAACTCCGATTGACGCAATAACATGAAATACAAACATTACAGTTAATTTACACTGTAGTGACTGTTGGTTAAATATTTAAGATGAGCCCGTCGCTAGCGATTGTGACAGACAAACTGATAATTTAGAGTCAACTTCAAGCCTAGAATGCGATAACCAGGAGGAGAGTGGACCAAACCCTGTTTAGATGCTATCATCTATGACGTTAGTGAGCCATTAGTACAATGACACGACAACCTTAAGTCAAACCTTTACAAATCAAACAGATGTTTCGTCCTAGAGTATGACGTAATGTATTCTCGCACAAGTTAAACATAAAATATTTTGTTTGTTAAAAATACTCACTTAGTTGATTTCCAGAGAATAAATGTTGGTACGAGCCTTAAAAACTTCTACGAGTGTCGTTAAAACTAATTACGCGAGTTTCGTACACTACTTTACTAACAATCACTACTCATAACTTAAGAGAGGTTATGTTTTCGTTTACAACCTCTCACTGCTACTGACAGTGATGCAACGAATCGTTGTACCATACACTTACAATTAAATTAGTCTAAACAGCTGATTAGTTGACGTTCGAAGCATACAATTTTACTTCTTCTCTCCCAATCCTTGAACCTCGTTGGTCCGTTAACAATTAAATTCTAAGAACTGAACTAAAACGGTCCGTAACCTAAATAATATTACAAGGGACTTTGAAAAATTACGTGATTTTGTCTAGGTACTTTAAAACGTTGTAGCGTTGTGGGTAATAATTCAACATTTTTGACAAGTATGAAATCATTATGAATATGAAATACATTTAGTTACAACTCAAGGCAAATGCTTTTTATTGTACGTAGAACATCAAATACGTATTCTAAGGGAATATTTAGTTCCATTATTGTTTAATAGTTTACCGGTAGCCTACAGCTGAGGAATATATGTTACTGTAGAGTTTTAAATATAAAGAAATTAAAGAATTTATTTCTAGACCTACATTAAAAATAACTGTGTGTTCATTTTATTTTATCATTGCTGTTCACTGCTCCAGACGTTTATTACTGTTACTTTTTTCATTGTTTATCAATAATTGTTCAAATCTGACTAAGACTCATTGAATAACAAAAGGCTGAATGAATAAATAAATAAAAAAGACTGATTGTATATAAAAAAAAGAGTGTGAAATGACAAAAATTATAATAATAGCTGCAGACGAGTCATAAATGGCTTTTGTAGCTAAATTGTATGAGTTTGTTTATTGTTAAAAGTTTGTTAATAGTTATTTTTAGGAAATTCGACTTGGCTAATGCATTTGTAATGGTAATCTAGCTATAAGTTTTGTAAATTTGTATATTTCTTTAAAAAATAAATTTATAAGTATGAAATACATTTTTATAGAATACAGTGTTAGCAGGTAGATTAATATTAATTGCTCGACCGCACTGTAAGCTTCTGTAGTTCGCAGAAATATTCGATTGACTTCAAATTCAACCTGTTCCATGTAATGTACTAGAACGTCATAGGGAAGCCCCGTTCGTGGACAAGATACGAAGCTGGTGTTTGGATAGATGAACACTCATCTCAACAATCAATAGCGACGTTCAATGCGACTCTATCGTCTCCTAAGATTACTGAGGAGCTAAAAACAAACTTTCTTCTGTTTTGCGATTGAAAAATGTATTTCCTAATATAGGTAGTTACACGGTGTTTCTTTAAATGATGATTTAAAGAAACTGTAGACACTAATCTACACATTATGTCAGCTTAACTTTGACCACCTAGTTGGTTTTAACATTTTAAAGTTAAACATGACGTGAATTTATGTATTTATTCCAACAACCCCATCACCAATTAACAATGTGAATTACATGACCACGTGGTAACAGTATGTGGTGCATTTGTGTAGTAATAAAAATTTAACATAATTTAAAATGAAAATGGATTATACATATAGAAAACCCCTAACACAAATCACATACCAGTCAAAACTGTTTGACTTGAGAAATTAAGGTACAACAAATACGCATCCATACAAATAAAACAAATCTCAATTCAAATACTGTATTGAGTTGAGGTCGTGAGTTTTTGTTACCTGTTTTAATTGTCCTTTGGTACTACAATGAAATTTTTTTTAAATGTAAAAACTATTTATTCGTATTTCATGTATGGCTTCGTTTGAGTGGGAGAATGTAGACTTAATATTAAAAAAAAAGAATTATCTTCAAGATTAATTCATAGAGATTAATACACCGACATACCCACTAGTGTGCGTAATGCAAAGATGCTGAATAATGATTATTGCACGAATCAGATGTTAGCGACGAAGATCAGCTGTTTCATTAAAAGCCCAATCAAGGACAGCTGCCCAGCCTCAAACCATACAAAAACCAACTAATTTTACGCATGTTTGAACCGGCGACCTTCTTAGGCGATCACTTCTACTCAGCAATGTTTAATCCATGATACGATCTACAGACTATAGACCCCGCTATATCGGTTAGCAGGTACAGTATAGAGCGATAACTTATCTGGATTATTGATTTAACACAGCTTTCCAATCCACCGCGGCTGCCCAAGTATCTTCGCATTGTTGGAATATCAAATAATCTTGTTGTGACCTGTATACTCTTTAGTTCTCAAATCTTATGCTAATAATTACCTAATCATTTTCGTGAATTTTAACCGTCAGATTTTTCATTCGTGAATTTATTTTGCTACAACACTATTAAAACAGGTCAAATACGTTGCAGATTTCCTGTAACTATTTTTGTCAATCGCGTTATTTCGCGTTTCCGCCGACTGCGCAATTCCTCTCGAGTCTGATGACGCATTCTGGAGCTGTCAGATCACTGTTCCAAGAAACCGTGACAAAATGTTGGCAAAACGCGTTTAATTGCACTTATCTTCGAGTGAGAATTCTTCAATTAAATCGTTGTCGTAAATAGACAGTGATTAGGAATTATAATGTTTTAGTGTAAATGTTGAAGTTCTACGTTGATCTAATTACTATAAATAATTGATTAACGTAAATGTATTAAGATGACATCGCCTATTGATGTTTATTTGTTAAGCAATCCAGAAGGCAAAACACAAAATGTAAGGCATTATCATTAACAGGGTTTCTGTTGTTAGAAGATATATAGGCTAGCTGCATTCGATTTAAAGTTAAAACTTGATGTTACATTGTTGGAGATTACAACCACGATTGGTTTAGATTCTCTAATAAAAACAACAATTACCAATACATTTTTCCAATCTTCGCAGGATGTTGCATAAAATAAAATTACCTAGTAATTATTTGTACCAAACAAAGTCGTAGAGATTCAAGAGAGAGAGATTCAAGAGATTTATTGTACCATTAAGTAATAAATACAATAGGTAGAGTATTTCAATAAACTTAACCCATTTATATTTCAAAACATCAATCAACCACAGATACATGTAAAACATAATAGTGACTTCCCCACCTTACCGGTAACAACCAAATCAACACCTCCACAACAATGATAATTAAATCACCTAACGCACAAATTAACACATATTATTGTATAGGATGCACTAATGTAAACACTTACCATAGTCGGAGAGCGACACAGTTTTACAGTTTATCAACACGTTCACAACACTACACGACACTACAGACAGGAGGGACACAGATGCTCTGTCGTCGCGAGATGCAATCTTCAGATGGACTGAGGCAGTGCGCGCGCCCGTCCTAGCATCAGCCAATGAGAGCGCTCGTGGGGGAGGGAGGGGGGTACAGTCCTCGGCTACTCACTCGTCTTTTTGTATTTTCATCCTTATCCCTTCTCCCCCAGCAGCTTCTGATACATTCAGTATCTTGGGACTTCATGGGACTTTCTTGGGAACGTTTTTGTAAAATTTGTTCGATTTTTGCGCTTTAATTTAGCATATATGTTTATTGATGTGGGAATTTGTTTCTTGCAGTTTCTGTTACATTAAGCATCTTCAAAGTCGTTTTTGGAAAGGTTTTTACATAAATCCTTGAGTTTTTGTTCATACTGTTTGAAAGCAATTTATTTCCTCTATCCAATAGATTTCGATTTCCAATATTATTTTCATAGTTGTCGTTTTTCGTTTTTGACAATAATTACTTGTGTGCAAATTGTTGGAATTTTCCAGTTTCCTTGTTTTCAACAGGGTTTTCAGCAACTAGGTGTACTGATGTTATGAAATATGGACCCTACAGTTGCCTCAGCCTCTGAAACGTTCGAGAGAGAAAGAGACACCTAACACACACCTAACACACACCTGACAGACACCTGACATCTAACATGCACTTTATCATGCTTGGTTGAAATTGACAAGTCTTTTGAAATACTATTTTCTGTCATTTTATGGGAATGTTGCATAATTTGGCAATAACTTTTTGACCGTAATTTTAGATTTAGAGTTACAATAATCAGTTTGACGTATTATGTATCTTCATACACAACGAACTATGTATCTTGATACACAACGAACTGTATATCTTCATACACGACGAACTACGTATCTGCATACACAACGAACTATGTATCTTCATACACAACGAACTATGTATCTGCATACACAACGAACTGTATATCTTCATACACAACGAACTATGTATCTGCATACACAACGAACTATGTATCTTCATACACAACGAACTATGTATCTTCATATACAACGAACTATGTATCTGCATACACAACGAACTATGTATCTTCATACACAACGAACTATGTATCTTCATACACAACGAACTATGTATCTTCATATACAACGAACTATGTATCTTCATACACAACGAACTGTATATCTTCATATACAACGAACTATGTATCTGCATACACAACGAACTATGTATCTTCATACACAACGAACTATGTATCTTCATATACAACGAACTATGTATCTTCATACACAACGAACTATGTATCTTCATACACAACGAACTATGTATCTGCATACACAACGAACTATGTATCTTCATACACAACGATCTGTATATCTTCATACACAACGAACTATGTATCTTCATACACAACGAACTATGTATCTTCATACACAACGAACTGTATATCTTCATACACAACGAACTATGTATCTTCATACACAACGAACTGTATATCTTCATACACAACGAACTATGTATCTTCATACACAACGAACTATGTATCTTCATACACAACGAACTATGTATCTTCATACACAACGAACTGTATATCTTCATACACAACGAACTATGTATCTTCATACACAACGAACTATGAATCTTCATACACAACGAACTGTATATCTTCATACACGACGAACTATGTATATTCCGTACACTACGTAAAACACATTCTTTTACATATGTACCGGTAAGCATCGAAAAATTTAACACCACAGTTTTATATGAAAAGGGAGCCTGAAACATTTAATGCCGAGTTAAAAGAATGTTTTTTGAGTGGTAAGTAAGTAACTTCATATTACTTTTTAAGCATCTTAACATTTAGCGTTACAGTTTTATATCAAAATAAAATGTCATCTATACGCTTTAAAACAATTTAAGACATTTTTTTGAATTTTAATAAGTTTAATTTTGTGAATGTCATCCCCTTTAGTATAAATTAAAGGTAACAGTGCCTAATTAATATTTAAATGTATTAAATGCAACGCTTATCCGAACTATTGCGTCCCGGCGTGATCACATAAGCTAAATAACTGATTTTCGTAAATGTCAGGATTTGTACCCATGAACCCATGCCTTGAGGAGGCCCGAGCTTTGGCCGCTGAGTTGATTTACAAAGTTACATTCAATTCGAATTTAATTCAATGTTATTTGGTCGTACTTGTAACTTACCTTCGGTACATTACAGTATATGTTCAAGAAAGTTCCGAAATGTTTAGAAGACGTCAGAGATAACAATCGTACAGATGAAAGAAATACTACATATGGCTCGTAGCTAAACAATATGCATTATCTCATAGTTTCATTGAGAACATAAAAAAGTTCAGAGAATGTATTCAGCAGGAAAAGTTAAATTTAGCATCTTTGAAAAGCATTGTGCTCAATGAATGTTTTCGTTATGTATTCAATGAATAAGGTGTGTTCAAATTGAATTATTTCATCAAATTGTTCACCATATACTGTGAAAACAGATGACTTTATTTACAGAGTACAGATGACTTTGTGGAGTACAGTGTATATTGCATGTACTGTATTATAATTTCCACAGATTCTCTACGTATTAGAATAGATAAAGTTGATTCAATTAGTCGTCGGGACCATAAAAGATTACTTGGATAGTATCGCCAAAAAAATATAGGTACAGTATACCTTTTGGACCAGATATTGGTTTCTAGGGAACTTCCATTAGAAAAAACTATTACCATAGGTCTCGTGGTATGACCTAAACCCGGGACCGATTTACTCTTAGTTTTGATGTCCCTAGATGCCAAAAAACCTACGTTTATTCAATCGAGTTCGTGAACCAGAATGCTCGAACTATAGGAACAAGGTTTAATTGAGGGAAACTTTAAAATTTCAGTTGATTTCTAAATAATATATAGAGCTAATAAATAGATTATTTACTTAAATGAAGCTTTGTTTTACACCTAATGGTTGCGGAGAAAATTCAAATTCTTATAGAGTTAACTAAACTGTTGTAGTTTGTACGTTTTAGGATGTATTTTTATATAATGAACGTGTATTTATTTCATACCAAACTTGTGTATTTATTTCAATAAACAGTTTATGATATTCCTTGAAGTGTAACAGCAAACCTAAGTACTCACTAAACCTAATGTTACAGAAATTGGGAATAAGTCTAACACGTTTAAGGGAATATGTCAGTGAAAATCTGATCAGGCAAATGGAAATTCGCAGGGGCAGCAGGTTTGCTGTGGCAGGGGTATTGCTGTATATAGGAGGTACTGTATTTAAATTGAAAGCTCAAATAGTGAGAGTTTAAAACAACCGTTTTCATAATCCACAAAACACTCGATCGTATATTAGTGTTTAATTGCGAAGCTGGAGGGTGATATCGATGAGTAAAACACTTTGTTGTGTGTTATTGTGCAAAAGGGGGCCAAAGGAAGGATCGTCGTCCAGCAAACGAAACGAATGTTTTGTCCCGTAATTTACGTACTAAGAAACCCCCTACATCGGTAATATTAGAGGAAATTTTTCGATAATTGACTTTACAAAATAACTTATAGCTAAACAATTTATATGTCGCTTAAAAAGGGAATTACCTATCCAATCGTGGAGTACATAATTATATAATCATTCAGTGCTGTCTTACTGATTTTCATGAAGAATTAGTTGGTACGTTACCGATTAGAAGCGCATAAATGTATCACAACATCGGATGTAGTTCTGTGAAGCGAGATCCTTTTCACTTTATATAAACATTTAATGTATATTATATTTAGTTATTCGTATATTCTCTTTTAACGTTCTCACTCCGTTGAAAAGCATGAGTAAATAATCGTGAAACTATCAATACCCAATGTGTGTGCACACATGCATCATCCCACCATCCATTTATCCTATGTCCTCTTATAAATCCCAGATCCGATGTGTCTATCTGACGCAGATTTTAAGAGCCACATTATTCTCGTTATGCATCCCCATTTCAATGTTTTTTTTTTCAATAATCGAGTAATTTAACAAGTTGTTCATGCAAGATTATCATTACTAAATATTTGTTCGCATATGCATCGATCAGCCTACTTAGACGGGCACTTGAAGTTCGTTATAAATCCTAATACCGATTATAGGTCTTCTAGATACATTTAATCCTTTCCATACTAACTTTTGACGTACATATCCCTGTACTGTACATTAGAAAGCATTGACAGGCCTTGTTCCCAGCCTATGACAGCTCTGTTATCACCAACAGGAAGGCTACAGCTACGCTATCACGCCAATTACCGTCCGCATACGTTATGGTTATCACCAGTGATAACTTACATCACAACTGTCAGCTACGTGCGACTGTGAGACTCACTTGTGATAGGGCAAAGTGGCCGACTTACGTGACCAGTAAATGACCAAGGTGATAGGAGAATACGTAGACGTCGAGTGTGTGGTCTACATGATGAAGATGATTTGTTCCATTGTATCGTCAAATATTCCAACAATCATGCAATTTTGACAAGTGAAGGTTAAAAAAGGATTAACTCACGTTTGAGCTGCGAGTATTTCCTAGTGGATCTATCAGCAAATGTGTAGCCATATACCATTCTTTTACACGATTGCATGATCTACCTATTCTTTACACAAAAATTGAAACAAAATACAATACTGTATGTTTACGAGAAATACATATCTTTGAATTGTCTGTTTTGTCTCGATTCAGTCAACAACTCACCATCTTTCATTTTTGATTGTAACCTGTGTTCATTTACGTACGTAAAGTACATTGGGAAACAAAAATAAACCATGATAGAGTTTTACGAGAGCTCGCACCGTGGTCGAAAACTCGACCAAAAGTATTGTAAATAAAACATGTGATTGGAATTTCTTACATTTGTTTAGATTTTCTGTTTATATTTTGTTGTCATTTCGTCCCCAACATTACAATTTGATTACAACATGACCCATAAAGGTCCATGTTGATTTTAAATAAATTTGTTGTGCTTTTTTTACCCTATTTTAATTTATAAAGGGATTATGCACATCTACAGGAAATTATCTTACATTTGGTA